TTTACCTGAAAGTATAGATATTAAATATTTTAGATTGTTTTATATCTAAGAATGCACTATAATAGGCCTATATGTAGGTTAAATGGGCAGGACATAATTTGTTAGCGAGTGGCTGTCTGAACAGTACAGTGGTAACGCGCTGGACTCCCGATCGAGATGCACACACGTGTTAAATAGGCTATATTAAAAATCGCAATTTTGATTTTTATAATATCAAGTTATCTATACAGAAATATTTATAAACATTTTTTGTTGATATTTGAATTATAATAGGCCTATATATCATGATAGTTTTGTTCACTGCTTTTTGTAAAATAACAACAAACCTGAGCACGAACAATACCTTTAAATTAAATTATTAATCTGTAATTAATTATACTTACATTAAAATCAGAAGCAGTTTTTCTTAATGACTCATTATGATTAATAACTCTATCAGCCGCCTGCTCAAACACCTTTGTTGACACAGGTCCTCTATCAGTCTTTCTAATATACGTGCGAACCATAATTGCAATTGATCTGTAAAAAAAATGAAATTCATTAATATTTCATGTGCATTACACCTTTTTGATGAACTTTGGGGCATGTTGTTACATGCTGTAACAACATGCCCCATATCGACATGGGGTATAACAATGTCTCCATACTTAATTCATCGTCAAACAACATAACTCAATGTTATCGTATATTAAGAGGTATTAACTATCGAAGTCTACAACTAATAAGAACAGTATCAAAACACAGTATATAAAGAGTAAATAGATATTTCCTAGACATTTTTTTTAGTTTAGGTTTGCAAAAACAGAAAATGTACATACCTTTTTTTATTTCGTGACTGATCTTATTCATGCCGCCATTAAAACAAAGTTTGAGCAACACGTGTTCGATGGTCCATGAACTATCGTCGTCTATTAATCTCAACAAGAGCTAGAGGCACTGTATCGACTTGCCCCTTTAACAACTAGCCCCGGTCTCCCCTACTTACAATTAATTACGTTAAAGTTAATAATAAACACAAACATGAAGCAACTTCTAAAACATTTACTTTATAGGGGGTTCTTTTACTAAGTCTTATTGATATAAACCCCTCTTAAAAAGGTTGCAAATTTTGTACTGATATTTTAGAGAACAAGACATATCTAAATCTGAAAAATTACATTTAGTGTTAATAGAATATACAGCTGAAGCATTTTAACGTTGTTTTTGATTCTCTGGTATGGTAGGAAAAGAATGACAGGAAGTTACAGAAAGTCTGTAAAATTTGGACTAGTGGCAGTTCTTAGAATAAAGATTTCCTAGTAATTTGTCTATCATATTAACTACTTCATATCTATAGAATTCCAACAATATGAACGTACCCAAGCGGCTTCTCTAGATATTAAACTTAGGTTTATTAATCTTTCAGTTTCACCAAATTGATTAACTACATTTTGGGACAAAGAGTTTAAGAAAAATCTCATACTATAGTTTGTGATGTTAAATGTCTTTCAGTATTTGAATTTTTACTCAAAAATATTAGTATTTATGTTGCATAAGTACAATTAACAATGTATCAAAATTGGTAATATGAGTGTCTGATCACAAAAATTACATACAGGTGTTAAAAAAGAATGTTGAACATAAAAGAATTACTAGCACATAACACTAATAATAAACTTTAAATCATGTACTTGGATTTGTTAATCATAATTTTTGTTCGCCCTTATTATTAATATAAATGTTAAGTTAAAATTATTTTATCGGGTTAAAGTGTGGTACAGCCTCTTCCCATTTTCTACAATGATCAAATATTAATGCCATCCCCTATTTCTGGAAATTATTTGATACATTTCCCCATACTTATTAATATTATTAAAATACTACATGAAATATGGTATGCAACAAATACAAGAATAAAACAGGTACAGAAACTTTACAAATTCAGTCACCTAGTCCTGGGAGTATTTCTATATGTTATTGTAATTGATTTTTTCCAGACTTTTCCATGTTGTGTCTAATAAATGATATCAATATATTTGTAAACTTGCATTGATCTTCATGTTCTGAAGATTTCTTAATGTAAGCTTATGGATATATTACCATTTGTGTCCATACGTAACCCTGACAGAATTTGGAAAGAGATTCATAAATGTTTATAGAACAGTGTTTTATGTCTAAAATTCAACAGCAACTATAAGACAGTTTGTCAATAAAATTTTATTAAAACCACTAATATGTACTTTTTTCATAAACATTTTCTATGTGAACCATTTAGACATGTAAGGGCCATCTAGCTCATAACCAATCTTCCTGTAGTAGTCCCTGGTACCTATACCTGGAAAAAGAAAACAGAACTTCAATTGGAAACACAAGTACTGAGCTGTTTCTAGGTTGTAAACAGTTCCTGAATATATAGTGATCGAATATGTAGCTTTAGAATTTTAAATGTAACTTTTATTGCAAATGAACTGTAAAAACAAAATCAATGAGGAACAACAGCTATTGAAGTTGATGAATATTTTTCTTTGAAAACAACAGGTATAGAAAATCACAAACTTGGTTATGTTAACATTTTCCTTCCTTAAAAATGTAATTATGATAGACACCTCCTTGCACCACTAAGAGTTATTTACCTTGTGCAGAACTGATGTAGAATTTCCTGCACATGCCACAAGCCTTGAACAATCTTCCACCTTGACATGTGTGTATGCGTACTGCACTAACCTATGACATAATCATCATAATGCTGTAGCTTTCCACCAAAGGAGGACAAAACAACCTCCATGCACAGTAATTCCCATAAGCAATAGCACATGATCACAGGTTCATTCTTGACAAGGCAAATTAAATGCACTGGAAGTAAGGAGAAAAGGTGGGAGGTGTTGCAGAGAGGTAAATATCTACCAGAAATACATTTTCAGATAAGAAAAATGTTTATTTCAGAAGCACTACTAGGAGCTAGAACACCACACTGAAGATAGTGGAAGAACCAAAGCTAATTAATCACAAAGATGAGCTTCTTTCAGAATCAGCAACAGAAAGGGAAAGCCTATGGTGTGTGACTTCCTTGAGACTAGGGGTCACCTAGTGATGCAGCACTCAGTGGGAGATTGCACTTCTTAAGCAGAGAATACTCTTTGTCCACCAGTTTTTTTTTGTACTAAGAGAATAAAGCAAATGATAACAGGAAAATCTAGTGCTGATGGTTACATGTCACCATGGTAGGTAAAACATCAAACGTTTAGTGTGGATAGGGCTTCAGGCCATTCTGTCTTGGTCAAACACTTAAATAAGAAAGATACTAAATTGACAGGTGGAGGAAGGAGAGCCCTCATTTGTGCTCCAAGGCAAATCCAAGTCCTATCCTATCCATTAGGATCTGCTGGAGAGCTATTATAACTGCAACTACACATAACACCCCAGCCCTACATCTCAAATGAGTGGTGGGCCCAACAAGTGGGGAAGGCACCACTCACAGAGAAAACTCCATACTGAATTTCTCAGCAGCTTGGGGCTGGGGAAGTAATGGGAGGAGGAAGAATATGTGTAGGGGAGAACAATGGAGAGTGTGCATGAACCACTGACATCAGGCACAATCATCTGGAATTGGGTCCCCACCAAGAGGCTGTAATGAGTTATGACTAAACACATCAAGCAGGAGCCAGATGTAATAATAAGACTATACCAGGTGCTGTCTGTTATTTGTACTTTGTTTGTAAAAGGTGCAGAAATGGCAGTAAATTAAATAGATATACTGTGAAAGCAGTCTTGCAGAAAACCCCATCTCGATAGGAGAGAATGACAGCCCACACTGTGGGAGAGAGAATGGTGAGTAGAAGCAATAGCACAAAAAACAGAAGAGTGGGTAGATCCATGGGGCTCCAGAGGTTGGGTAGCCAAATAAGATATCTCTGGTCTAGTGAGACAGGAAACCGAGAATTCAAAGGAAAATTGAAGGTGAGTAACCCCAGCTCAAGATACAAAAGAATGGAGAACACTTCCAAAAATTGGTGCAGTGAGAAATGAGGGCAAGACTTAGGTCAAGAAGAGAGGAGGAAGGGAGGCAGATGCTCAAAAGAAAAGTGTCAAGACTGAAGAGATCCCAAGAACAGAGAAATCACGTTAATATAGATACAACAGAGGAAGAAACAGATGTCAAAGAGGCAAACAAATAAAAACAGGCATCCCCATCAAAACTATTAGAGTTGTGATGAAGAGCCATAGTGATGAGGATAAGGTTGGAGATAAAGCTAAGGAGTAAAGATCAAATGAAAATGAGCAGATTGCAGAAAAAGGCCAAAGAAGGAGAAAGAGGAGCACCCCAGAAATATAGAAGGGTTAGGCCATAGCAAAGGTTTCAGAAAGATGAGGAGGACAAGGAAGACATTGACCAATGTGGAGGTGAGACAGAAGGAGGCCCATGAAGTAAAGCAACACAAGAGTCATTATGACATACAGGCAAAAGAGATAGAAAGTCACACACCTGAGTTACGAGTACACTAACATAAAAGGAGGAAGTATCTGTCCCTCATCATGAAGAGAAGAGCCAGAAGTAAGGGCTGAATGTGGAAGAGAAGGCTAAAATTGTCACAGGTGAGTTAGGCTCAACAGAAGGCAATGAAACAGTATGAGGGCCATGAACTGGAATAGTAGAAAGAAGGAAACCAACCATCTGATGCATAACAGTGGTAATATCATGGTTGAAAAACTCCAGAAGTGAACAAGTCATACCATGGTTCACTACAGCTCTATACAATTGTGGTAACTAAATATTTCCACATTATTTATATTACATTGCCATGTAATGGAATCCAATATCTGTCACACTCAAGGCATTAGTTCAATCAAATGATCTAAAGGGATAAGTACTAAATGTCAGCTCCATGAACACATAATGTGCCTCTTATCACCACTGACATAACTGAAGAAAAAGCCTGAAGAGAAATGTTTGGGTCTTGGGCATTTTTTTTCTTTGCATAAATTGACTGAATTAGCACAAAGAAGAAATGTGATAGCTAGAAAAAATGACGTTAGAATCAGGTGGATGGAACAAAATTGTTTCAAGAACAAAAATAAAAAAAGACATTCAATTAAAGTAAATATAAACTAAAACAGAAAAATTTACATCTGAAGAGAGTCAGTGTCAAGGAAAGAATTAAGCCTATAATCATGTGCTAGTACAGGTATTATTGCACATGGAAGTTATGTCACTCTTCTGTTGGTGAAGGGACATGAATATGAACACTGATTTAACTGGCTTCCTGAGATATTTTGTTTATAATTTTCTTTTAATATCTTGCAAGTAAGCATCAGATAGAGAAATGTTACTTACCTCTCTGCAACACTAAGAGCTATTATTTCATGCGCAACTTACATAAAATTTCCTGTGCATGTCACAAGGTTTTAACCAACTCCCACCCCTACATGTTTCTATGTGTACTGTACCAACCTATGATGTAATTGTCGTAATGCTGTAGACAGTAATAATCAGAATTAATGTTCAGGAAAGATGTCAGTATTTAAAACTTTTGGGTGGAATTTGGTAAAGCTACTAGAACTTTAGGAAATACTTAAACTTTTATTAAGTATAAAACTTATATTTACTGAAAGCATAATTTTACAAATGAAATGCATTACACAACTGATTTTCTATATTCAATATGCCATTTTTTTTTTGCAAGTCTATTAATATTTCTCTTAAACAAACCTGAAATAACAGAGATTTTGTTTGCTCCATGCTCCTCCATGGCTATTCTTTCAGCCTCTTCCATCAAGAGCATACCAAACCCCTGGCACAAAACAGAAATAATCAACTTATGATCTCTTTAGCAATCCATAAAAACCAAATTTTTCTAAGCCAGAAATATTGTTAGAAAAAATTATTTTGATCTCTAATTCCAGTTTTTGATTTTAGACATAAAAAAATTTTTCTATAAAGTACGAATTCTATTGTTGAGGGACATCAGTACTCTAATCAGCTCTAGAAAGTATAAAACATCATAGTTTCCATAAATTATCTCCTTTTGAAAACATTAGTGATATAAAATTTGAAAACAGGGAGAAAATGTTATAATGAACAGTGTATTATAGCAAATGTTAAACAAGAAAAACAATTTAAGTTCACTCTATCACAAAAGCATAATAATTTTGCCTCAAGCCAAAACTTTCAAATGTATGTTGACAACAATAGTGACAAAAAAAAAGAAGACTCGTGAGGATGTTTTGTATGCAAAATAATTAAGCATCAAAATTGAAGATTTATAAAATATTTAAAAATTTCATTAATGACACGTTAAACTTTGACAGATTTCATACAGATACTGAAGCACTTTCTGAAGAAAAATATTTAATTTTTTTTATTACATTCATCATTAAAGATAACTTTACTTAAGAATAATGCCACATACATCTACATACACATAGATTACATAAACAGGGAAAAATGTTATACATATATTTTTACTGTTAATACTGATAACCTTCCAGTACATATACTTTTATATCTGTATTCAAAATTCAGAAATACAATCAATTAAATAAAGCAGTCAAATTTAATAGCAACAAGGCTTGGGTACCTGATGTTGAAACTTGGTTGGATCTCTTGCATTCACAGGCACTACACTTCCATAGCTTTGTTCTGAAGTCAAGGATCACATTAAGTACATCCATCAATCTTTAGCATTACCATATGCTTGTTCAAAACAATACAGATATAAACCTCACAACTCTCGAAGCACAACCCAGACTTTAATTTATTACAAACACAAAGATAAATTTGTACTACACATCTGATCTAGTGTAATCAAAACTGAATCAGTCTTAGGCCTTTAGAATAGACTGGTAATATAACATTTGAAAAAACAGGGAGAAAATCTTGTTTAATGAATAGCATATTGTAGCAAAAAATAAACAAGGAAAAGAGTTTAACTTCGATCTCTCACCAAAGCATAAAACTTTTGCCTCAAGCCAAACTTTCAAATATAGAGGGACAAATATGACATACCAGGAACATAAAATTTGTTCACTAAACCAAAGATTCAAGAGCATAAAATGGTTTAAAGATGTACTAACTATTCCTGAAACTTCTTCATTACGGGAAGAACATATAATATTACAAAGTGTATTGCAAATGTGCATCACACAAGGATGTATTTGTTTTCATATTATTCTCAGTAACATTACAGTTTATTCAGGATAGAATGTTAATATTGATTTTCTATTCTTATGACAAATTATAAAAAATACTGATTCAACTAAATTTTTCATATCTAGACTAAAATATAAAGACCATACCTTTTGTCAACATATATTTGGATAAAAAATTAGCAATCAAAGACTAACTAAAACAACATGTAAAAACTGTTACATGCATAAAAATATTGAATTTTGTAAATTAAAATAAAATTTAATTAAGCAGTCTCTTCATGATGAGATACATTATCACACAAACGGCAATGACTTTCTTACAAGGACATTTTATGATATTACTTATTTTTAAACTTTCTTTTCTGGTTGAGAAGAGGTGTCTCTACATGTAAGTGGTTTTATCTATAATTATGTGAAGTACACGATATTACTGACTCCTAAAAGCTGCCAAGGTCATTCTTCACCATCAGGTGAAGGGAGAAAATGAAGATACATGTCTGTCTATAGCTATGAACTTTGGTAGTGTTCAAATTAATTCTAAAACTGTATATTCCAATAACATAACTGTATCTCTATAGAGTGAACTATAATACACACACTAAAGAATGGATCTTGAATAAAGCATCAGATATCACTGAGTAAGGAAACAAAGCATGACCATAAAGAACACCTGTCATCTTCTAGTAAGATCCACTATCTAGAGGTCAGTAAAATAAGAAGAAAAGATGCCATGTTCTGGTAACTTCCTTACTTGATTGAAGCAATATTGTCTAGTCTCATGACTTGTGAATGACATCTTGAAAAGTCTTTTAGGTAGGACTGCATCCTCACACTAACTGTCCAGTATAAGTGAAAGGTTTAAAAGTACAAGATGTTATAAAAAGAACATAGTTTGGTCATATAACTGCAAGAAAGGGATCATTAAAATATTTTCAGAGAAATTTACAAAATCCAAGATGAAAGCATTATATACCGTTGAATAGGAGAAGGAATGATGATCATCATGAGAAAGTAAATACTGTCTCTTCCAAAACTACTATCCTGAGATCATTTAGAGAAGAAACAAATAGGTTGTGGGGAAGGAAGACTATGTATTATACTATATTAATAGCCTCAGTTGTTGAAACATGAACCAAAGAATACATCATGTGTTAATAACCTAAAAGGTCTTTCTGAAGGAATACAGCCTCATAATAATTAGCTGGTGTCAGTGAAAGATTTAAAGGGATTATAATGTCAAACCAGGAACATAAAATTTGGTCTTTAAACCTCAATAAAATAACAAAAAGAGAAGTTTCTTTTCAAGAAAGTTTGAAAAATCATGAATACAAGAATGTTAAGAGGAGTAACATTTTGAAGGACCAGAAGGATAAATCTACTGAGAAACATATAAAGTCATGTTTAATTCAAAAAAGAATGAAGGAAAAATCTAGAGGGAACATAAAACTAAATTCTAATGTAGTTGAACTGCTGAAAATGATAAACACCTATTAAAAAAGGGCTAAAGAAATCAGAAAGAATGGCATGGAAGATGTAGCCACAAGAAGGTTTGGATAACGACCGGAAGGTGCGTAAGTTTTTTGTTTTTTTAAAAAGAGTTTTAAATTTATATATATATAAAAATAAGCCCTATGAATATCATGTTCCATAACAACAAAGTGATCATAAACTTCAGTGCTGCTCCCAAATCATGTACCACTAGTCCTAACAGTAGTTTGCACGAGCTTTTATGATACACATGAAGAATGTTAGTCTTTTAACAATATTTTATCAAACCCTAGCTACTACTTCTAGATAGTCCCTTCCATTTTCATGCCTTTTTAACTACAAATTCCTAAAATCTTGTCATTTAGGAAAGTCATACAGAATAACCAATGGGTATAATGTAGGTTTACATAAAAAACAATGCACTAATTAATCATGATAATGAAATAAAACTTTTTCAATAATTACATAAAAACTACCTTAAAATATTGTGGAAGTTCCTGTACCCTCTAAAACATGAAAACAATTTAAGATAAATAAATACAAAATTGTGTCTGTGACAACATGCATGGTTAGTTAACGAACTTGGGGAAATGTATGTAACTACCAGAATCCTATAAATGATGTCATCCTTTGATCTTTGCTGGCATCTCAGCAAAATTTTTGTTCCACTGTCTTAAAACATGTTTAGATTGGCTCTGTGCCATCACCAAGTATTGTGGTGACTCCATGAATATATGGGAAACTGTGATTTGAGTAACATACTAATCACACACTAACTAATATTATACAGTTCCAGGCTCTTCAAAGAGCTAAGCAAGTCTGTATAGATGGTACAATTAGCATATTGCTTAGCTTCTATTCCATCCAGAGCAGTGTATGAGGAGTAATTTTTGACCACATATGTTCTTTAAGCTGCTTTATTTTAGTAATAAAACTAAGCTTATTGTCAAAGAGAAATCCTAAGAGAATTTTCTCAGACAAGACAGGTATTTGTATATCTCTCACACAAAGCTCAGGATCAAGGTGTAATCCCCAATAGGAGAAATGCATGATGTTTCCTCTCAGACTTCCTTAACATTCTTAGTTGAATCAGGTTGTCCACAGTGAAATGTTTTCTGTTGAAACCACTAGTTGGTGGAGAGTATGTTGTTTAATTCAATGAACCAAACAAAATAAGCACCAATCTTTCTCTCCAGAACATTACAGAGACAAAGTAATAGATCTAAAATTAGAAAGAATCTTGGGATACTTCCTGAGCTTAGAAAAAAGAGATGACTATAGCTCAATATCATAAATATCGAACATATTTTTCCTATCAATCAGGCTAGAAAGAACCTGAAGACTGAGTGTGAGGAAAAATCATCTCATAGTGGATATTATCCAGTTCAGCTGATATAGAACAATTCTAAGAACTATGACTGAAAAAAAGAAAAGGAGAATATCCTGCAAGATATCAACCACATTATATCTGCCATATCCACTGCTGATGAGGATTTTTACCCGATACCAGGGACATCAGGTTTGACTGGGATACAACAGACATAGGTATACTTGACTGATTCCTTCTCCTGGAGACAAGTAAATTTAGCTTAATTTAATTGTACAACCTATAGAGACATAGATGGCAACAACCTTCAGAAGTGTAGTGAATGGTACATTCATGAACTTATTCATTACAAGTCCTGTCTTTTCTGCATAATAACAACTGCCAAATATTGGCAGTATCAGCAGTTTTCAAAAATGATATTAACAAACAATCAAGGCCTTAATGTCATTTAAATTAGCATGCAAACCCTTACAGTTCCATTATTTTAAAGTGGTCATTTTCATTTAGATTGATTGGGAGAATTAGGCTGGAAACATATTAAAAACAATTTTCTGTTTCTAAATGACAGGCCTATCAACCTCCATGATCTCTGCCCCCCCAAAAAAAAGGAAAAGGTCTCCAATAGAAGGATTCCAAGATCAAGGGCCATGCCAAATAATCGTCAAAATCACTAAAATGGTTCTGGTCTTTCACTGGTGCTACAAGCAGTGATAAGAATGGCAATGGACAAAGGGCAAGAAGATATATGGAAGGGCCATTACCATCTTCCTTATATCAGGGTACAAGATGTGACATTACTGAGAGTCTTATTCCCCTGTACCTCCTCTTACACCCATTTGAGACATGGTCTAGAATAAGAGGAATGGAAATTACAGCAGTTGATAGAGCATGGCTTAACCTGATACTTGATGGTTGCATAGTCTTTGCCAATGAAATAAGCACAGATTAAAGAGCCATGATGGCAAAATGTTTTACACTGCCCAAACTGCTGACAGTGGAAAGAACAAAAATGATTAGAAACATTAAGACCAAACATTGCATCATAAATAACCTGCCTTGACATCACTAGGCGAGTGTGGTGATGTAAAGGTCAATATGAGCACCCTAATCAACTCAAATATTCCATTCTCTGGAGAGTTTATCAAGGAACAAATCTGCATATGTTGATAGCATGTCTTAAAAATAAATAGGGTCCAAGTCAATATAAATACATCAACTAAAATTCATTGAGAAAATAAAAAGGCATGCACTAAAACATATGTATGTACAAAAAATATATTTAAAATAAATAAAGTAGGTAATCAAAATTTTCATTACCATTAGGTCACTGGTTTCAACTGACTTCACAGTTTCCTTAAAACATTACAAAGTTGGTCAACTCAAACTGGAAAAGGAGTACATTAATCATCACTGTTATCCTCAGATAAAATCACATTCTCCCCATTTCTATAGTCCATTTTGGCTTTGCAATTTCAATATAGAGAGAGAACACTGTCTGGGTATATCAATAATCAAACTCATGAATTTTGTGAACATGAATTTACCCAATGATAACTTAGCATTCATATATGGCAAACATCCTGAAATTTTCATATGTGCTCAATTACCCAAACTTACCTTTATATGGCAAAAACATTTTGTTAACACAAAATGAAATTATTACAGCTCTAATGGCAAATTTTGTTAACTTCATATATACATTTTAAGAACTTATGTTTGAAATTACAGAAGAATGTATTAAACACTATGTGAACCACAATATATCTGCTATGCCCAGTTTCAATGAGGTATTTTGTCCGATACCATGGTTTATCAGGCTGAAATACAATAGACACAATAACGGTTGAAACTATTTATAATATCACAATGAATGAACAACAACTGTTACAGTGTGAGCTAGATCAAGATGATAAAATGTAACTTCTATATATATGTAACAATTTTAAAACTGCCATACAAACTTGGTAATTCAAATATAATGTAACATAAACATTTCCAATAAATGTTGATGCTAACTTGTTATAAGTTAACAATTTGATACTTACATACCTCAGAAGCTTCTCCAATTATTAATTTTATTTATTTACAGTATATTTCATAGTTATTTAGGTTTAACTAACCTAGAAAAAAATTTTAAACATAGATTTTTTTGAAAACTTTTTCATGTATACATTTCAGATTCAAATAAACTTTGGATTAAAAATTTAGTACCGATATACTAAAGTAGCATGTATCATACTTTATATGATTGGTATAAAGTTGATACACACAACAAATGAAACTGACTGAAAATTGGAAAAATTTTAAGTGTATTTAAAAGCTAGAAAAGATATGTCCAAAAACTGACCATAGAAAGTTAAAATACATCAACTTTAATGCACTAATAAATAACAGCTAAAAGTGACTTTATATGTAATACTAAAAAAAACAACACATACATTTCCACATAAGTATTGAGGTTTAATGCCCACATAAGAAAGGTTCATTCTTCACACGTGTTTCGAACTTTGCTTACGGTAGTTTCTTACATTTTCATAGTTTATAGACACAGAAAATATTTGATTACGTTAACCCAGTAACATTTTTTTTTTGCAATTATGAATTTTTGTCAATTGTGAAAAATTATAAACTTTTATCTGCATAAAATAAAGTAACCATTATTTCATTTCGTTACTCTGTAATATTTACAATACCAGATTTCATTATGTCATGTATTTTCAATATTGTCTTTGCTACTCTGGGTGTTCCTGTAGATATAGATATATATACCATATATAGTTTTGTAAAATGTTGCATCAACACAGTTGTTTCTGCACTTCAGGTTTAAGATTCTTGTCTACGTGCTGTTGAACACATTATAAGAGTTACATCCACGTTACTGTAAGCAACTGGTGCTACTCACTAGTTGCCCTACCTCTAAGCAGTACTTCAAAGATAGGATCAACTATACTCGAACTTTGCCGTTTAGCCCACGTATAACATAAATGGTTCAAAATACCAAATGCCCATGATCTTTATTTATTGTTACCGACAAATTAGCTATAACAACATATTAGAAAAAGAACCTTTGGTATATAGCATTAAATATTTTTACTTGAAGAAAATGTATACAAATTTACTGTTTAAATGCAACTAAATATCATGCATTTTCAAATAGAACATCAATAAAATCCTAAAACTGTAAATAATACAAGTAATAACAATTTGGATAAAGTGTGCTACTCAATTTTAAAGAATGCGTCAAAAATTGGTCAAACTTTTAATTAAATAATTATATTGAAATTCACTATATTATTATTTTTTTTTTTTGGTGCAAATTTTATCCTTTTTAAAAGGATTTACCAGAAGACTAAAGGTCAACATTCCCTACTTTAAATTTAGTTTTTTTACTGTGACCTTTGGCCCTTTTATAGAAGCCTTGTACATCACTTGCTCAATGAAAGCTCCGATAAAATAGTCACAACTAGCAATAAAAAAACAAGTCCAAGTATGGTAGTTTTTAATAATATATGACATTTATCAAATATCAAAATAACTATTCCTTGTCCTGTATCTTCTCAACATTTCTTCTACAGTTCTACAGAATCAAGCCAAACTAAGTTAGTTTGGTATGAATGGCTTAAACTATAGAGCTTTTTCTGACAACAGTTCTTTCATATAATACAGGACAGTCACATTATTATCAGAACTTACAAAATAATCTATTGAGATCCCTCCATATTCACTTAACACCTGTTGGCAAGCAAAGTCTCTCTCAACACAAGGGGGTTTACTCTTGGTGAATACCTAATTGTAAAAAAGTACTCCTACTAACTATTTCCTTCTGTTATTCCACTACTGGATACAATCACATCCGTAATTAGCAAGTTGGAGGGAGAAAATGTCATTGGATAAATGTGTTCTCACCATACCTGCATCCAATGGGGCAGTGCATTTTGTGTTTACTATATATTGCTGGTAACGTTCAGTATTACTCAGAGCAGAAACATAACACAGAGGCTCCCATGGAAATACTATGCAATTTGCAATTAACAAAAAAGTTTCATTACTTTTGGCACTGTCATAGTGGCAAAGGTTTCTGCATGACAGATCATTCCACATACTCAAACACACTCATAAGTAATCCCTTTAGTTTATGCGAGGAAAAACAAAAGAAAAGGATACACATGTAACTCTCGCACTATAGAAACACCACCTTTAAGTTCGTGCCTAAATGTTTCCTGAGAACACTTCCTTAGCCTCAGTAAACCTATAAGAATATCTTGTTCAGGGTCTTCATAGGATAAGAAAGTCTCCCATCCACCATTCGCAACATAATCTCTTCTAATGAGCTCGATCTAAAGCAAAGAATTAACAAGTTGAAAAAATTTCAGAGAGAGAAAAAAGAAAGGATACGTTTGTTTTTAAGCACAGAGCTACATAAGAGGATATCTGTACTTTGCCCACCATGAGTATTTATCAACTCTCATTACTTAACTTTTTTGTTTGTTTTCACTTTATTGTAACAGTTCAATATTCCATTTCTAACTTACCATATCACAGAAAGCATTCGGTATTTTTCTCCCTTTTTTCACTTTAGTTTATTCCTTTTCACTTAATTGTAGAATAGTTCTGTATTGTCATTTCTTGTTTGTTTTTGTCTAGAAATTATTTTCTGTTTTCATGCCTTACCAAAACAACAGTTTTTGTATTTCCATTTTATTTTATTAGTAGTCCTGCATTCTGATTTTGTGTTCAATTTATCATACGGTAGTCCTGCATTCCGATTTCTTGTTCAATTTATCATACGGTAGTTGTGTATTCCGATTTCTTGTTCAATTTATCATACGGTAGTTGTGTATTCCGATTTCTTGTTCAATTTATCATACGGTAGTTGTGTATTCCGATTTCTTGTTCAATTTATCATACGGTAGTTGTGTATTCCGATTTCTTGTTCTAATTTATTATACGGTATTGTGTATTCTGATTTCATTGTTCTATTTATCATACAGTAGTTGTGTATTCCGATTTTGTTTCTATTTATTCTATT